AGTTATTAGGGTTACTGAAAATCCAGACATGGGCTTCTCCCTTCGTATTGGACCTCCGGTCTGGGCCTGAAGCAAGCGGCCGACTAGCGAAACGCAATCAGTAGCAGATAGGTTTGAGAAAGTTTATTCGGCAAGCACATGTTTTCAGTAACTCTCCATCGACTCAGTCCTACAGTTGGACAGGATTAATAGGAATCCTTTGATTAGTACTCATCGTTTTCACGCCGCCCCCATGGCGAAATCGGTGTGTAGAGGTCCTTGCGCCGAGGGAGGCGAAGGAAGTTAGGATGGGTTGTGGGCTTCGGTTATGGGTCAGGTACGTGGAGTGATAAGTACTGTTGGTTGCACGGAGTGAGCGATTGTCACTAGGGGGTAGGGGTGATATGCGATCACCATCTGGTGTCGGCATCGGCCACGGAAGTGAATGTGCTTGTGGTGGCACTGGATTCGCTAGCCGTAAAGCTACTGTTTCGGCTGTTGGTGTTGGCCCTTGGAGAAGTTGACTGGTGTCCTTTAGACAACCTGAAAGGCTTAATTAATATTGACTCGACAACTCGTATCAACGAGGTCCGTGAGAATAGAACTTGAGATCGATCTAGTTTTACCTTTACTTAACCAGGCCGCTGTGTGCTCACGTACCCTCTTTTCCAGGTGAGGGAAAGTTGAAGGTTCATGTGCGTCAGCCACTCGCTCACCGACCGAGTGAATCCCCGTTGCTAGTTCCAGTCTTGTCAGTCTGAAAATGGCGATTTAGCCTGAAATAAGGGCTCCCGTTTCAAAATTTTGTAACACATTTGATACACTTATTGCCTCTCATCTGTGACCGCCTTGGTCGACTCTAGACTGAGGATCAGGAACGAGAACAAGGAAAGCCATACGCACGAATCCGGGCGTAGCTGCCAACCGTATTTTCATGGTGTTGTTCCACGAGGACACGAGAAGACTGTATATTTAAAACAATATAACAAGGTAACAATAGCTGTCATGGGACATGGAGCTTCTGTAAGCTCTAGTAGGAGTTCCAACAATGCGTCACTTTTCAAGTGTGAAAGGGAGCTTCATTTATATTGCTTAAGGTTCAAGCCTGACAGACTTCTAGAAGGGGTGACTTAGAGGACCCGCAGTCGTTCAAATGGTAAAGCTGACATCTATGGGAATAAGAGTGGATCGCAAACCGATTTCTAAGGACTTCACAAGGTTCGGTTTACAGGAGGGTGGCGTGGTTCCTGTAGCCGACGTGGCAATGAACTGCCGTCTAGGCATGCCACGCACTGAGGCGGCCGGTGCTGCAATATGGCAACTATCGGGTGCTGATTGACCCTCGATGCGTAAGAAAGTTCCTTGTTTGGGAAGCGTTTGGTACGCGAGGATTATGTGGCGGATCCAGGGATTAATCATCCAAAATGAATATCCCTGTAAGTAGAAAGTATTTTTACAGTAGTATTTAGATATCAGTCTGCATAATCCGACGATATCACTCTGTATGTTGCAGTACCATAACTTACGGTTGTAAAGCTGCAGCCGTACGCTTTAATAATTGAATAATTATATGGTATGATATTCGGCAGGAAGCAGTCTCTCTGAGCGCAGCGATGGTCCAGTGTCGTTTCGGTTTCCCCTTTTTTTCCGAAATGCAAATGCTTGCGCTTTCTTTTGCAATTGGAATGTCTCGAACGTCCCGGACGCGCGTCCAGGCCACATGGTAGATTCAAGATACAACCGGGATGGGCGTGAACGCACGCCTGGAAAACCCATTTCTGTCTGGTCCGCCATCTTGAGTAGGAATAACTTGCCCCCGTTATTTGGAAACCTTATCAATCACGACTGTTAGCGCGTTTTCAAAGCTTGGCTGCTTATTTAGTCTCTAGAGAGGGATTAAGCGCAAAGTCGACATAATTATCTTTGCGCTAGTCCCTTCTCCAAATCAAGCCGTCTGCGAGGGAGATTGCGAGTCCATGAAATATCGGTGGCTAATTTTTGAGTTTAAATTACTCTCATATAGAAACCGACACAGATGCGCAAGAAGGAAGAAGAAGAAACGATCACTGGAACAAGAGGTTTATTTTTCTGACGTTTCGGATTCCCTCGGGAATCCTTAATCGTAGGTAATAGAAGATCAGCCCTATCTGCGTATGTCTCAGGCTGATCTTCTATTACCTATGATTAAGGATT